CGTGACATGCAAGCACCACTCGAAAGTGGACAGCAGTAGCACTGCAGCCCCTTTCTGGGATTTCCTTAAAGGACAGTGGTGAAGGGAAATCCTCCCAATTGGCAGAACATCAAGCCATGCATATGGCTGTTCATTTTGCATGGAATAAGAAATGGCCAGATGTGTGACTGTATACAGATTCATGGTCTGTCACTAATGGCTTGGCCAGATGGTTTGGGACTTGGAAGGAGCATGATTGGAAGATTGGTGGTAAGGATGTATGGGGAAGAGGTATGTGGATAGACCTCTCTGAATGGGTGAAAGGAGTAAAGATATTTGTGTCTCATGTGAATGTCCACCAAAAGGTGACCTCAGTAAGGGACGACTTTAACAATCAGGTGGATAGGATGACACGTTCAGTGAAAAACAGCCACCCTTTTTCCCCAGCCACTCCTGTCATTGCTCAATGGGCTCATGAACAAAGTGGACATGGTGGCAGGGATGGAGATTATGCGTGGACTTAGCAACATGGACTCCCACTTACCAAGGCTGATTTGGCTACCACCACTGCTGAGTGCCCAATCTGCCAGCAGCAGAGACCAACACTGAGTCCGCGATATGGAACCATTCCTCAAGGTGATCAGCCAGCAACCTGGTGGCAGGTTGATTACATTGGACCACTTCCATCATGGAAAGGACAGTGTTTTGTTCTTACTGGAATAGATACTTATTCTGGATATGGAGTCACCTTCCCTGAACACAATGCTTCTGCCAAAATTACCATCTGTGGGCTTACAGAATGCCTTATCCACCATCATGGTATCCCACACAGCATTGCTTCAGATCAAGGGAATCTCTTCACAGCAAATGAAGTGCAGCAATGGGTCTATGCTCATGGAATCCACTGGTCTTACCATGTTCCCCATCATCCTGAAGCAGCTGGCTTGATAGAACAATGGAATGGCCTACTGAAAACACAATTACAGCACGAGCTAGGTGGCAATACCTTGAAGGGTTGGAGCAATGTTCTCCAGGAGGCTGTATATGCTCTAAACCAGCATCCAATATATGGTGCTGTTTCTCCAACACCCAGGATCCATGGGTCCCAGGAACCAAGAGGTGGAAACAGGAGTGGTACCACACACTATTACCCCTAGTGACCCACTCAAAAATTTTTTGCTTCCTGTCCCTGCTACCCTATGCTCTGTGAGTCTGGAGATCTTAGTCCCAAAGGGAGGAACACTCCCACCTGGAGACACAATACTGATTGCATTGAACTGGAAATTAAGAATGCCACCCAGCCATTTTGGCTTCCTCATGCCTCTGGATCAACAAACAAAGGGCATTACTGTACTATCTGGTGTGATAGATCTGATTACCAAAGGGAAATTGGATTGCATTACATAATGGAGGTAAAGAACATGTCTGGAATACAGGAGATTCTTTAGGACGTCTCCTAGTATTACGACACCCGGTGACCAAAGTCAATGGAAAATTACAGCAATCCAATTCTGATATGACTACTAATGGCCTAGACCCTTCAGGAATGAAAGTTTGGGTTACCCCACCAGGCAAAGAACCATGACCAACTGAGGTGCTTGCTGAGTGCCAGGGAAATACAGAATGGGTGGTGGAAGAAAGTAGTTCTGAATATCAGCTATGACCACATGACCAGTTGCAGAAACTGTGAAATATAAATAAGGTTAATGTGTTTTGGTTGTACACATGCTAGTATATCATGTTAGGTGCAAATATGACTTTATAATTGTCCTTATTTAGAGATTATATATGGTTAAGAAGATGTGTACAACTGCCAAGTTGACAAGGGGTGGACTGTGATGGTTGGAGCTGTGTGCCAGCTTGGCTGAACCATGATTCTGTGTGGTTTGAGCAATTGTAATGTGGCTTGTTCCCATGATGGGATCAGATGTAAATGTTTTGAGCAGCCAATCCATTGAAGGGGAATTTCCTTAAGGGTGTGGCCTGCTTCCAGTATATTTGTGGATATTCTGGGAAAAGAGACTCTCTTCTGTGGATCAGGATTCTGTTGTGCTGCCTACAACTGTCCGTGAGTGAACAATCCACCATTTGGCCTGGAGATCTTGGATTCATCATTCACTGGAG